CCCCCATGCAGGCATCACCCAAGAGAAAATCAACGAGATGCGGGCAGCCCCTGAGCAGCAGATGATTGCGGACATCCACTGTATGATCGCAGCGGGCCAGGACCTTGACTGGATAGATGCCCAGGGTGCCACACTGGTGAGCAGATGGGCCCGGCGGGTTTGGGCTGGGGCGGGGGGGCGTCAGCACCGGAACCAAGACCAGCTGTGGCCGAAGTGGGCCAGCACCTGGTGGAGGTTAAGCTTATACAGCTGGGGCCTTGAACCTCCTCCAGACGGCTTTGGGGCCAGAGTTGGCTCTGGAATATGGAGCGTCAGCAGAGCGGGGGGCTCACCCCCTTTGAGAATCTGGCCACTTGCAACTGGGGCTGGGAGTCAGGAGCCCTGCTGTCCGCCCGTTCTGTGTCCAAGTTCCTCCTCTACTTCGAGCTCCAGGTGTCCATCCTGAGCTCATGATTTCCCCCTCCTCCAGGGGTGGCTGGTGCCATCATTCATCCATCCAGTCGACACAGACCTCCATGCCACAGCTTTACTAGACTTTGGAGAGCTAGAACAGTGAACCTGCTCTCTCAGATCTGCCTGATTGGCTCCATTCATCCTTTTGGCTCGAGTGTCAGCGATTAGAAACCTTGACCTCTCTCCATAGGCTTTCATAGGACGATGCAGCCTAGTACTAGGGAGGGCCTGCTTCTGAGGCTCTAAACTGAAAACAAGAGCAGGGCCTTGGAAGCCCGGATGCCCCCCCCCCCCCGCAACCCTTGCTGATGGCTGGGCCCTGGCCTGGGCTTGGGGTCCGTGCTGGTCGTAAGCACTCAGGAGTCTCAGCATCTTGAGCTGACCAGCTGCGGTTCACCAGCAAGACCCCTCAGTGCCCCTCAGGCCTGACCTGGTGGCCCAGGTGTGGTTACTGGGCTTCCCCCACCCGGTTCCTGAGCCCCACCCTCTGCCTTATGCCTTTTCCTGTTCACTGGGTCCCTGCTCAGCCCAGCGCTAAAAGATAGAGTTAGGTAGTGAGACCGAACACGGCAGTATGAAATCAAAGCTAAGCTGTCCCAGGGCATGGCCCACCCTGGCTGGAGCTCCTTTGGGTGTGTGGCTGGGCCCTTTAGACACACGGGTCTTCTCTTGGGCTGAGGGCTGGCCTCAGGGTGGCCCAGACCACATGGGCCAGGCCCCTACTGGGTCTCAGGTCGTCCCAGTAAAGCGGGGATACGAATAGCACCTTCCTCACCAGGTTGTTGGGAGGAATAAGTGAGATTCTGCATGTAGGTGCTTAGCACAGAGTCTGTAAACTCGCAGTGGATGTTAGTGATTAACATCTTTTTAAGTTTATTTACGTGTGTGTGTGTGCGCACGTGTGTGTCTGTGACAGAGAGAGAGAGAGAGTGAGCGAGCTCAGGGGACAGGGGGAGAGAGGGAGAGAGAATCCAAAGCAGGCCCACGCTGTCAGCGTGGAGCCTGATGTGGGGCTCGAACCCGCGAACTGTGAGATCATGACCTGAGCTGAGAGCAAGAGTCAGACACCTAACCAGCCGAGCTGCCCAGGCGCCCCAGTGTTATGGTTATTCTAGCAATATCACTCTCCCGGTCGTGCCATTTTCTTCCCAGCCAAGTACGGGGCCCCACAGTTTGTGATGTCTGGCTGGCCTGCTCGGTGTCCTTCTCCACAACTGGCAAACCACGCGTTTGTAAATCAGATGATTGTTCTAATTTTCATGTATGCCTGTACCAGATCACACCCCGGGTTTATTCTGAAAATTAAAAAAATAAAGGAAAACCTCTATTTGCCGGAACCTCATAGCAACCTTACCCCGGGATGGGGCAGCGTCTGACCATCAGGGCTGTGTTCTGAAGGGCCGCTTCCTGGAGTCATGCCTTCTCTGTCCCACTGACCGGAGCTCTGTGGCTGCAGAGCTCAGCCCCGCCAGAGCTCTGGCGTCCTTGGGATCTCAGCTCTATCTCCCACCTTGGCTGGGCAGTTGGTTTCTCTTTGCCTCATCTCCTTACTTCTTCCTTTCTTCCCAGGGTGCACCTTACCATCACTCACGGCCCTCCAAGACAATCACTTATTGTTTGTCATGCGCTAAGCACTTTATATATTTTCTGGAGGTCAAGCAGATGGGATATTTGTGGTCTGCAAGGCGGCATCCATCCCCAGAGGCCTTGAATGGTGCTGGGTAGAAGAGTTGTGGCCTCAACATGAAGCTTTCCCTTGTTGGATGTGTTGGTTACCTATCGTTGTGTGACAAGTGACCCCAACACTTAGCATCTTAGAACAACAGTAAATATTTGTTATCTCACATGGTTTCTGTGGGTAGGGAATTGGGAACAGCTTAGTTGGGTAGCTCTGGTTGGGGCCTCTCACGAGGTTGCGGCCATCTGAAGGCTTGACTGGGGCTGGAAGATCCACTTCCAAGATGGCGCACTCACATGGCTAAGAAGTTAGTGCTGGCTGTTGGCCGGAGGCCTCAGTTTTTCACCTCCTTACAACCTCTCCTTGTGGCTGCTTAAGGGTCTGCACTACACGATGGCTGATTCCTAGAGTGATTGATCCAAGAGAGCCTAAGGTAGAACCAGCAATGCCTCGTATAACCTCACCTCAAATCACACACCACCACCTCACAATGTCTTGTTTGTTAGAAGCGGGTCACTTGTTCTGGCCCACATTCAAGGGGAGAGGAATGAAACTTCATCTCTCAAGGGAGGTATGTCAGAGAATTTGTAGACATTTTAAAACCACCATTTTGGGCCTCTGAAACCCCTTCCTCAGAGCTCAGCACGTGGTAGGGACTCAGTAAGTGCTGTTGCCTTAACCACAGGGGCTCTCAGACCCACCACAGGATGGAGAGTGGCCTTAAGAATGCTTTGTAATGTGGCTGGATTTCCGACTCATTCTCTTCCATTCACTGCCCCCCCGGAATGAGCTGGGATTTGGGAAGAAGTGGGACTGGTGCCCGTAGGGAATGCTCACTTTCCTTCTCTCCTTCAGCTGCACATAGCTGGAGCCAACGGGTACCTGCGGGCAGCCGAGCTCCTCCTGGACCATGGAGTGCGTGTGGACGTGAAGGACTGGGATGGCTGGGAGCCTCTGCACGCGGCCGCCTTCTGGGGACAGGTAACTCTCCGCCGTCGGGCTGGGAGGGAGGGCACGCAGGACCAGCCCGCTGTCCTTTGGGCCGGCAGAGGGTTCACAAGACCCACCGAAGGGGTTGACCACAGCTAGTTTTGTGGGATAGGAAAGGACCTTGAGAGTTTGCAAAACCATTTGACGGGTTGTGTCCTAAGAAGATGATGATCACATTTGCCAAATTAGAAAATTCCTCACATTTTTGATTTGAGTAGTTTCCCCTTTTGTTTCCCAGATACAAAACTCTGATTACAGCTGTTGCCGTCCCTCCTTGGATTCCTGACAGCTCTAGATTTACAACTGACTCCTTCTTCTTCTGTCCGTTGGCATGGCCCAGGCATGCTGGAGGAGGTGTCAAGCCCATTGTGTGGACAGGATCCCTGGCTCCAGGGTGCAGAGCCTTCCCTGGGAACCCGCTCTGCCCCGTCATTCTTTATGTCATATCCTGAGAGCCATTGGGCACTCTTACTGCCTCCCAGGCTTTTTGAGCCGAAGGGGAACGTGGGCTTCTTCCTGTGTTTCAGATGCAGATGGCAGAGCTATTGGTGTCCCATGGGGCCAGTCTCAGTGCTAGGACATCCATGGATGAGATGCCAATAGGTGAGTCCAGCGTAAAAACTAATATACACATAGGTACTCATTAATTATTTGATGGATAGTGGAATAATTGGATAAATACATAGTTGGCTAGATGGTGGATTCGTGTGTGGATGGATAGGATGAATGAATAAATTAATGAAGGGTAGTTTAATGTGCAGATGCACAGCTGGATAGGTGGATAGATACGTGTATGGGTAAGTGGATGAATGTATGGATGGAAGGTTGGATGGATAGACGGATGGGTGGATGGATGGATGGATGTGTGGTTGGATGGATGGATGGATGGATGGATGGATGGATGGATGGATGTGAGGATGGGTGGATGGACAGCTGGATGGATGGGTGGATGGATGGATGGATGGATGGATGGATGGATGGACGGATGGCTAGATGGCTGGCTGGCTGGCCGGATGGATGGATGGACAGCTGGATGGCTGGATGGTTGGATAGATGGATGAATAAGTGGATGGGAGGGTAGGGGATGAATCTGTGGATGGATGGCTGGGTCAGTGAACAAGAAGACAGGTGAATGAAATGATTAGGTGGATTGAATGGGTAGGTATATATGATTTGATATACATGTAATTTGGGGCTTGGACTACGTAAAGTACTTGCTTGTTTCTCTTGATGTGTCTTATATCACTGGAGAGTTGATGACTCCTGTTGGAAACTACCAAAGGGGGATGGCTCTTCCCATAGCTGGGAACCTTAGGAGCTGTGACTGTACAGATCCTGGGGTTCCTGTTCTTATCCTCTAAGGATTGGGGTGTAGCCCAGGAAGTAAGGCTGGCATTGTTTTCTTTCCTCCCTGGATGATGCCCCAAAAGATGCTGGGAGTTCTCAGGGTGTTGGGATGGCAGCTGCTGTGGCCTGGAGGGCCCTCAGGGGCCACCGGCCCCTGCACTGCTCCCCGCAACAGTCTCCTTTGCCTCTTCAGACCTGTGTGAGGAGGAGGAGTTCAAAGTCCTGCTGCTGGAGCTAAAACACAAGCATGACGTGATCATGAAGTCACAGCTGAGACACAAATCGTCCTTGAGCCGGAGGACATCCAGCGCCGGGAGCCGTGGGTGAGCCAGGGCCGGCCAGCCTTGGCCCCTGGGGATGCTCCTACCCGTGGCACCTGGGCACAGCCCTCTAGCACCTCCTCTCTCCCCTCAGGAAGGTGGTGCGGCGAGCCAGCCTGTCGGACAGGACCAACCTGTACCGGAAGGAGTATGAGGGAGAGGCCATCCTGTGGCAGCAGCGGAGTGCGGCCGAGGATCAGCGGACTTCCGCCTACAACGGGGACATCAGGGAGACCAGAACAGACCAAGAGAATAAGGACCCAGTGAGTGGCTTCATGCCCCTGCCTCGGTGTCAGCCCCAATTTGGGAGGTGGCCAGGACCCCAGCCCGGTCTTGCCTCTTCTTCTCGGTGCCTTCCAAGGGAGGGTGGCCGGGCAGTGCCCTTCAACCAGCAGGACCCCATCTGATGCTGGTGGCTCCTGTGGTTAATGAGGCGATCCTGGGGTTGTGAGAGTCATAGCCAGGAGCTTCGGCACACAGTAGGGTCTCATAACAGACAGGAGGTAACTGCCATGCGCCTGCTTGTGCTCCCGCAAACCTAGTTCTGGGCTTCCCAGAAGGGAGGTTCAGTGCAGCAGCCACCCTGGGAGCTAAAGGCACTAAAACTTTTTGGCCGGGGGGGGGGGGGGGGATAACAAGATGCTGACCATTGTGTTTGCAGAACACGTCGGTTGGAAGACATTTTTTGAAAAACTGAGGAGGGTAGTGAGAGGACCTCCAAGAAGCCTGCTCGAGGAGTAGCCAGGGGTCTGGGCATTAAACTTTCTTTCTTTTTTTTAGTATCTATCTATCTATCTATCTATCTATCTATCTATCTATCTAT